TATTAGCGTTACCTTTCAATCATATTTATATTATTTTGTAATTAGAAAAATTAGTTCACAAGATTCGACTCTTGCTTTTCCAACATCATTTTATACAATACACACTGACTAACATTCTTTTACCGTATATGTACTTTTCTCGCTTCGTTCATCGATAATTTTTCCTAGTCAGGTCCTATGTCAAGAAAATATTTGTCTGTTTTACGTTAGAAGCTTTACAAATTTTCCAATGAACATCAATACACATGGGCATTTTTTTTTCTTTAAATTATATATAATGGCTATCATTCATCTGCACTGCAGGTGTTTATTAACAAGTATAGAAACGTGTGACGCAATATTTTAATAATTACACGCAACGCAAAGTGAAAACTAGAATCTTCTTTCAAGATGTAATAGTAACAACATTATTTGTTAACAAACTATACAAAAAAAGGTAAACTGTCTCTCAGTGACCTTATTCGCGGAATATTTATGTAACATAAAAGAAACATCTTTATATGTTGTGTTGCGAAATAAACTTGCAGCGGTCACGATATTAATATTTATATAAACAGCGGTTAACGATATGAATATTAACAGTAATAATGTGGTACAGTTTCGATCGCTTTGAAACGTTATTATGTATTAACAGCAATCAAAAGCAATTACTTCTGTAATTCTCCTAATAGAAAATTATATTAAAGAAATAAACGAATATAGTTTTGGCTTTGCACAGTGCAAGTTCGTATCGCGAACAACTGTTAAACATCGAAAAATATATCTTATGTATTAATTTTGGTAAGTTTTGTTCTGTAGGCGGCAACTGTTGCGAGACATGCCAGTGCTTCCAAGTCCGGTGACGCACACCACGCTATTAATATTTGTATAATTAACATTTTTTGAAAACACTATTTATTATATACATATATATGAAATAATCGCTATGTTAAAAGTTAATGAAGATAAATATTATATTTAAGAATATAATAATAATTATTATTATGTGTTATGCTAAGTGAAAGAAAATTGTAGAAATAAATAAAGAAGATATTACTGCTTTTTTATATACTCACGCTTATTAGATTCTTCTGCTTCATTTTGCGTGGAATCGCTTGTAGCGGCTGCATTACGTGTAATGCTCTGTTTTCGTGCTTTCCTTTTTTGACTTCCAACAAGGAGTGCTTTATCAGCTTCTTCTGTGCTTTCACGATCTGTTTGATTATTCGAAATGTTTGCTTGACCATTAGCGTTACAATTATTTTGATTTTTCTTGTTATTTGAAGTTGACGTTAATTTCTGTACTATTTTTTTCTTTTTCGTACGTTGCTGTTTCTTCTTTTCCTGAAATTCTTCTAAACTTAAGGATGGTAACGCTTCAATTTTCTTTTCTAAATTAAAATCCCTACACAAGAAAATATCACATAAAAATAATATTGTATATTCATCATAAATATATAATTCCATTACAGAATATTTTTCCAAAAATATTATATTGAACTTACTCAGCTCGAAATCTTTTACGTGTACTCCATGGTCCAAAATCTAATTCTCCTTCTGCACCTTCTGTTTCTGTTTCCTCCGGTTTAGAAGCTTCAATATTTCCTTCAGCGCTTTAAATGATACGTTATTTTCGTTACTTATATTTATTTATAAATTATATGAAAGAAAACTATTAAATATAAAGCAAAGAAATCTATTTACCTTTCTACAAGATGTTCCAATTCTCCACGAGAACTATTTCCACCTTCACTACTCAACGAATCGGTTTTTTCACTAACATTTGATGAAATTGAATTTCTTCGTTCGTTTGAATGTCCATCAGTGCTAGGAGAAACATTTGTTAAGAATGATTTGTAATATAAACAGTAAACTAGTAATTTATTCTGATTAGAAAACTGATGAAATATTTACCTACGATTTCCAGTATGACGTTTTCGTTTAGGTTGTTGTCCTGATGTACCAATATTTTTCATTTGCTCTGCAAGGAACTTTTGATAGCGTAAACCTTTGCACGTCCGTTCACTTCTAAAATTAGTTTCTTCTGAAGGCATATTTGTAGTTATAAAATCATTTATTTCTATTTTCACATCTTCTATATCCTAAAATGTAAGATTAATAGTAGTTACATACATAGTAATTTCAAAAATATGATGAAACAGCAAAAATTCTTACATATTGTTGCTCATTATTGTTTGATTCAGATTTTCTTTTTTTCTTTACATCGAAAAGATCAGCTTTGCATTCTCTCTTAAGTTCGGATGAAAAAGATGCTTCTATATATTTCTTTTTAGGGGATTTCAGAACATCATTATCATCAATCACAGAACCATTGACAGTTGCTTGCTCATCAGTTATTTGCATTTTCTGAGGTGTGAACAGCGAACTGAGGCCACCAATTTGGGATTCGTCTGCTAGTTTACCTGGTTGAATTGATTGTCCATCTCGTTTGTCAGCTTTTGAATAATCGGAAGACTCATTCTCGGACTTGATTTCTATAGATTGCTCATTAGAACTCGTTTCTGTTTTTTTATTTGTAGGCCTAGTATTCAAAGTACGAAGAGGAGGTGCTGGTAATTTGTACCATTTGAAATCAGGATTTGCATTCAAGAATGCATCTTTGTACTGAAATATAATTAAATTAAAATTATTTTTTCCACACCTATCTGTAAATGACGCAAACACCATAAACTTAACGATTACATTCAATTTTGCATTGGGATTTTATTATATAAATAATTTACCTCCTGTGCTAAATTTGTGTATGAACGTTTTTGATCTGGATGAAGAGTGGCCCACCATTCACCAAGAACTCTTGTAACTGCTCGATTTTCTAAATGTGGGAAACCAGACCGCACAGAACCACGATGTCGTTTACAAAAAATTAGAAATGCATTCATAGGTCTCCTCGCATGGTGGGCTGGTTCTCTTAACTCCCGTGGTTCCTAATTATTAATATTATTTTATTAAATAATCGTACAAAAATATATAAGACAGCTAACGAATAAAAGCATACCAATAAAATAATAAATAATATTGTTAGTTCAAAAATATTTTATTACAAGTTTAAAACTTATGTATTATACGTATATGTAACATCTGGTGATTTGTGATATATTATACTATTTATGAACAATTAATTATAAATAAATAATAACATGTCAAAAATGTATTTGTAATCTTTAGGTCACAACATTATGTAGTCATGTTATAGCACTTGTGAAGCCTTAAAATAATATACCTTGACAGTTTCTAAGGTCACGTATGCTTACATAGATGTTCAATATGTAATGAAAATCCATTAAAACCTATTACCAATATCAGATACAATTTCAAGAAATTTATTATTGCAGTATATTATTGTTATCAGTAAGTACACTCACTCTTCTTGGAAATTACACTAGAATCTTCTATCAACATTTTTTTCATTCATATTTTTATAACAAAGCACTTATCAATTGTGACTAAAACAACGTATTTAGAAAAATGACATGTTTCTTGTAGCTTTATTTCTTTAAACATATCGAAACAAAGTATTACGGGAATAGTTTATCATTAGCTAAATGCAAAATATATATGCGAAAAATAATATAAGATTACTTCTTTGTTAATAGTTTATTGTTATGCGCACAATGAAATGATACAAGTTTCTTAAAATATCTCTTGGCCTAACAGTCGTTCTATTCACCTCCATGCTTAATTAAATGTTATTCAAGTAATCGCGAAATGTAAACGTGAATCAACGCACGAACATGACTGCGATCGCCATACATATGCACGTAATTCACATACATATGTGCATAAGGACAAAATAAAAGAAAAATATTAGTTTCGGTCGAGAAACAGCCTTTTCGTTATTCGTTCTTATCGTACAATATTTTTACCTTCCTGATAAGTGAACTTTATTGCGAAATATGACGTGTAGAAAAATGCATTAATTTATATTCCGTGCAGTATTATGAAATCGAATGTAAATTGCAGTATCATCTATAAATTGTCAGGAAAAATAAAGGTATTTAATTGGATTACGTGTCGTTCATGAGGATGCATGAATGATTTAAAAAAGAGAAACAAAGAAACGATTTCACGATAAATCTGTAGAGAATCATGTCAATTTACGGGTGCAACGAAGACGAGGACAATTTACAAACGCTCGTTTCAGTCAAATTCAATGTCAAAAGAATCTTGAATTCCGAGGTATTCTCTAAATACGGTATCCAGCGATTCGATCGACGACGATGCGATGCCAATTACAAATTTTCAAGAGCTACTAGTTGATCTTGTCGAAGAAAAAAATGAACACAGACACATCTGTCGTCGTAGAAGGCATATGTTAATTTTCGTATACTGTCTAATTACTTTGAGCGCACAAAGTCCAAATTATTTCAGGTATACGTCGTACCATTTTACACACCACGATCGATTTCAATGAAAAAGAACATCGATATGAAAATCTACGAGAAAAATTATGGAGGAAGCATTATCAAAATTGTTAGGGTACGTCGTCGTCTGTCATACGTCGTAGCTTTCGTTAATACTGTTGTACATTGACTGGTGGGATCGCACGATCCCTCGCAAATTTTCTACGAGCTTTCAATAATTGTGACAAAAATGATCGAACATTCTATGCGAGGTGAACGCGAACGGGAATTCTGCATCGCATATTTTTCGCAGGATTTCATGACACCATCCCGAACGTCTACTGACAGCTGCTCGTGCGAATGTAAATACTACATACAGCAATCTATATGTCTTTCTATGCATCGATGATCTGGCAAATATTTGAATGAAGTAGAACGTCTGTTTAAACAATTCCTGTTTGCGCAAGGCTCAAGTAATTTTTTTCACGGTACACTTTTCGTTCCTTCTTGTTGACAAATATTTATCAATGCAGAACTAAAGTCAGAACGATGTTGTTTCTTTTCGTTATGACTAGTCCTGATATATCGTACGAATCTCATTTTTTGACTAAAAATCGTCACGAACGAATTGCGCGTTCAACCGTTTCAATCGAAAAATTTGTCTCCCGATGATGTCACGGATCCAACGTTCGATGTCACGCAACGAAATGTTATTCGGAATCCGAGAAAAATACAATGTATTTCTCCCTACTCACCTTGCGTTGTTGCTCGTTGGCAGCCATTTCTGATTTCACTTGACAATTCACTCAGCGGCGCATAATAAAGATAAAGCTTCGGCTCTCTGACTGGCCCTCTCTTTTCCTCTGTGTTTCGCTTTCTTTCTCTGGCTCTTTTCCGTGCACGAATTAACCTCTCCTTCTTGCGTACTATTTCTATCTTTCTCTTGCACCGATGCGTTCATCCACGGTTGCTTCGTGCAGCCCACGTGAAAGAAAATTCTCGCATAACTCCGTGCAATCTTCTTATTTCTCACCGTTCGTTCACTAACTTCGAGAGAGCCCCCAGGATACGTTGCATTTAAGTCACTCGAACGACATTATCCGAACAATTTTCTGTTTGCAACTAAACATTCTCCGTGCAAACGTCACGAATCTACAAACGTCACTATCAAACCAGTCACGCGCCTGTTTTCACTCCGAGGAGGAGATTAACTTGTGACATCGAACAAATCTCGTATCTCATCGAACCCATATTAATTTTAAACCTTTTTCATAGATATTGAATTCTTCTTCCGTCTTATATAAATTCGTATATGTAACGGAGAAGTAATATATTATTGTCATGTGCATTTTCAGTATTGTGCGCAATCTGTTCAAAAAAATACAAGATTCGCGCGTGTAACAATACGACAGAGTCAGCAACCTTACCGTGCAAAACTTGCTGCGAGACGTTTCAGGTACAACGATTTATTGTTCTTTAGATTCGTAACAGCGACAATTTAAACTTGTAATAGCATTTTTTAATAAACGTATACATATTACGCGAAGCATAACAAGCAAACGTAGAACATTGGTTCCTGTATACGAAATTAATATCAATTTTAAATTCGATTATACTAGATAATGGTGGTAGGATTGAATTAAATCTGTAATAAAAAAAGTTGCCAATAGAATGCAGTGAACAATCAAAATGATCAGAATCACTATAAAATAACCAACAGAAACTGCGTCAGTTTGTTATTCTCTTCATATAGGTTAGAATGACCTAACCTATCTGTTTGTATTTGTTTATTGTGCAGTGTTTTAGATACTGAAAGGATTTACTAGTTAGGATTAAATCCTTAGGAACTAAGGATTGTGTAATCACGTTATGATTATTTCCAAATTGTGGTGATTTATTAAAATCATTAATTATTCAATTAATTCATTTGTTAAGTAACTTTATTCGTCGTCCACAAGCTTTCGCACTTGAAGAAGTTTAGGTACCCGAGACATCATGGAGAAGTCTCAGAAAATGCCAAAAGTTGCTAAGGTATGTACGCGTTCTATTATATGTATTACATATAAACAAAGATCGCTTTATAACATGAAATTATTAAAATGATTACAGGTTAAGAATAAAGCGCCTGCTGAAATTCAAATAACAGCAGAGCAGCTTTTGCGGGAGGCTAAAGAACGAGACCTTGAGATTTTACCTCCGGTAAGAATTTTGAGAAATTACGATAAGAATACATTAACAAAATTATATGTAATATGATCATTAATGTTTATCTACAGCCTCCGAAACAAAAAATTTCTGATCCTCATGAGTTAGCTGATTATCAACATAGAAAACGCAAAGCTTTTGAAGATAATATACGCAAAAATCGTATGGTAATCTCAAATTGGATAAAGTATGCTCAGTGGGAAGAAAGTCAAAAACAAATTCAAAGAGCAAGGTTTGTTTATGCTTGAAAAAGTTAGGTATATTATGAATGTAATAATAAAATTTACATTTTAATTTTAGATCTATATATGAACGAGCATTAGATGTAGATCATAGAAATATTACATTATGGCTAAAGTATACGGAGATGGAAATGCGAAATCGTCAAGTAAATCATGCAAGAAATTTATGGGATCGTGCTGTTACTATATTGCCCAGAGCAAATCAATTTTGGTACAAGTATACATATATGGAAGAGATGTTAGAAAATATTGCTGGTAAAATTTTATTATAGTTAATATTTAGAAATACTGTAGTAACAAGAGATTGTTAAAAAAATTATTTATTTAGGAGCACGCCAAGTATTTGAAAGGTGGATGGAGTGGGAACCTGATGAACAGGCTTGGCAAACCTACATTAAGTTTGAATTGAGGTATAAAGAAATACAAAGAGCAAGACAAATCTATGAACGATTTGTGATGGTTCACCCTGATGTTAAACATTGGATAAAGTATGCACGATTCGAGGAATCCCATGGATTTATAAATGGAGCACGCAGTGTTTATGAGAGAGCCATTAATTTTTATGGCGATGAAAGTTTAGATGAAAAATTGTTTATTGCATTTGCAAAATTTGAAGAAGGCCAAAGAGAGGTAAATATATACAAAATAAAATACTAACTGAAAATATAAATAAAATATATATAAAGTAAAATTCCAAATTAAGATAAAATATAATCTTGTGTATTATAAATATATATTTTTGTAGCATGATCGAGCCAGAGTAATTTACAAATATGCATTAGATCATATTCCAAAAGAGAAGACTCAAGAAATTTATAAAGCATATACCATACATGAAAAGAAATACGGAGATCGTTCAGGTACTTTTTTTATTATGATAACAAAATTTTGTAAATAATTTTGGAGATGTGTATGACTAAGTAATATCGTTATTGATAGGCATTGAGGACGTAATAGTAAGCAAAAGAAAATATCAATACGAGCAAGAAGTAAAAGAAAATCCTTCCAATTATGATGCTTGGTTTGATTATTTGAGATTAGTGGAATCTGAAGGAAATGCAGATGTTATCAGAGAAACTTATGAACGTGCTATAGCTAATGTACCTCCAACTAAAGTAAGGAATATAATTTTATGCGATTTAATACTTTGTACGTTTTGTATTAGCATGGATAATATAAACTGAACGCATTTATATGATATAGGAAAAGCAGTTTTGGAGAAGATACATTTACCTTTGGATAAATTATGCTCTTTTTGAGGAACTTGATACTGAAGATATAGAAAGATGCCGTCAGGTTTATAGGTAATTAATTTTTGTTTCAAAACTGACAGTGATTTAATCATTTATAATTTTTCAGGGCATGCTTGGAGTTGATCCCGCATAAACATTTTACATTTTCTAAAATTTGGTTGCTTTATGCATACTTTGAAATACGACAAAAAAATTTACCAGCAGCTAGGAAAACATTGGTACGGATTTAATTGCATATAATAATCTTTCATTTTACACCATTAATTTAGTTTGTAAATTATAAATGATTTTATTTAAAACTGTTCTAGGGTATGGCATTAGGTATTTGCCCTAGGGATAAATTGTATCGTGGATACATTGATCTGGAAATTCAATTAAGAGAATTCGATAGATGTAGAATATTGTATGAAAAGTTCCTTGAATTTGGACCGGAAAATTGCACTACATGGATGAAGGTATGTAAAAAAGGAATTATTTAATATTTAACGTAATTTTTTCAATGTTACATTTTATGTCAAATTTTTATTCAACAGTTTGCAGAATTGGAAACACTATTAGGTGATGTAGAGCGTGCACGAGCTATTTATGAATTAGCTATATCGCAACCAAGGTAAAATGGTTAAAAATAACTAACCAGAGTTTATGGTAAAGCTTCTGTTATATTTATGTATTTCTGTTTCTAATATATAGATTGGACATGCCAGAACTTTTATGGAAATCTTATATTGACTTTGAAATAGCACAGGATGAAACGGAAAATGCAAGACAATTATTTGAGAGATTATTAGAACGTACGCTTCACGTGAAAGTAAGAAACATAGAGTTCCATATTGGCCTTGAATTTATAATTACGTAATTGTAATATTTATCTATTTCATTATTCAATGTATTATTTTAGGTTTGGATTGCATATGCTAAATTTGAATTGGCAAATTCGACAGCTGAAGATGGTGTAGATAATGTTGTTTTGGCAAGAAGAATTTTCGAACGTGGAAATGACGCCCTTAGATCAAGCGGAGATAAAGAAAGCCGAGCGCTACTATTAGAAGCATGGCGAGATTTCGAAAATGAGAAAGGAGACGACGAAACTCGTGTTAAAATTATGGAAAAAATGCCTCGCAGAATTAAACGTAGACGACGTATTGTAGGAGAAGACGGGGTAAATAAATTCCATATTTCCGTAGTATATTTCTTAAATGAAAAATTAACACCGTTTCTCATTTTTAGAATGACGACGGTTGGGAAGAAGTATTCGATTTTGTTTTTCCAGAAGATGAGTCACAAAGACCTAATCTTAAATTCCTGGCATTTGCCAAAGCCTGGATGAAGCAAAAAGAACTCAGTGAAAAATGTGAAAGTAATTCGAGTATGAATACTTCTCAATCAGAGACAAACAGTTGAAACGTAACTGTATTGCTTACTGTAAGAATTATGTTATATTCTTGTAAATAAATTAATTTTACGTAAATAAATAAACACGTTTTGAACTTTAAAAAAAATTTATATTTAGAAAACTTTACAGTATAACCAGTATTTATGACATCATATATGTATGTTTTGTTACACATAATATTTGTACTTGGAACTTTTACATATCAGTAATAAAATGTATCGTGAATAATAAATATCAATCAAAGATTTTTTAAGTAAAATATAAATGTTACAATGATTAATAGCTTTATTATTATTACATATTTTCAATATCTTGCTATTGACTTGCTTATAAAAGTGTAACCTCCATATGTTAATTATCGAAGTTTTTGTTCATCAGTGCAAACACACTGCACCAGAGAAAAGTATTTGTTTTTGGCAGTTTGCGCTACATGTATTTGTCACTACATGGATACATTTATTCAAAAGATTCAATGTAAACAGTGAACGACTAATTTTTTCAATAACTGTATAAGGAAGTAAAAAAATAAGTGAAAAATATACAAAAGAAATAATTTTTTTTATTGCAAAAAGGAGATCTGATACAACAACCGAAACAGCTGTCCTTGAATATATGAGTAGATGATGTTTTATTGTAAAAAGAGAGTGTATTATTTTCTCAAACAATACTTTTTTGTACTTGATAGAATATAGTAAACTGGGATATCAATTTCATAGTCATCTGTTTTCTTAAATTAGTTACTGTTTCTCACGTTTTATTTAGTTGTCTTTGTAGAACATTTCTTTTTTTCATCGCTTTCAAAACCAGAATCGAGGTCATCACTTAAACACTTTTTCAACGAATAGCTTTTAGAATGTTGTTGTGTATCTGTTTGTTGTTCGACTAACAACTGTCTAACGCATCCTATTAACTGCTCAAAAAAGTTTGGATAGCCTACGTATCCAGGAAATACGTTTACATCTATAATTGCATATCGTCCAGTGTGATTTTCAATCACAACGTCAACACCAAGCAAAATAAGTCCAAAAAGTTTGCTAACTTCGTTTACAATCTTCTCTAATACTTCCTGTTTTGGTTTTAGCGTTAATGGAATGTTCTCTTCTGATAAGATTGACCATTTGGATGTTGAACCACTCTTAAATATATTAAGCGAATTAAAAAATATGGTATTTAACGAAGTACAGTCTTCTTCATAGAAATTCTTAAAACTGGGTCTCTCGTCTACATAAAAATGTTCACGGACTATGTATATTTTGTAAACAATTGCGTTGTGATTAATAAATTCTTGTGCTACACAAGGTGGTTGACAGTTGTTCAATTCCTCTTCATTGAAAATTACCATCATCTGAAAATGAAAACTGATCGTATACATTCTATGTTACAAGCGTATGTTTATATAAAGAATAATATGCTCACCTTATGTGCATCGCTAGAACCAAGAGCAATAAGTGGTTTGCAGATTATTGGAAACTTAATATTTGCCTTTTTTAACAGTGATATATTTTCAACAGTATCTTTCGTTTTAATTTCTACGAATTTTGGAGTAAATACATCTGAAAAACAAAAGCTCATAATCAATTATGTTCACAATTTAGTAGTTCGATTAATAAATTCCTTGGTAATCAGTTAAGAAACATATTTTTCGGTTTACCATTAAATTGTATGTGTTCTCGTATGAGCTCATAGTATTTATAACGATTTATTAAAATCTTAATATTTTCCAAAGGATCAATAACTATTATTTTGGGGTGTCGACAGAAGTACTCTTCGATTTTTGAAATAATTGCTTTGGCCTGCAACAGAAATAAATGGTTACACAAGTTCTAATTTCAAATTCAGATAATTTTATCATACATTTTGATCACCACGTTCTGCAAGCGCTAGTTTCGGTGTTAATTTATGTATAAAAACATGGAATGGTCCCTGAGATTCAAGATCAGAATCTATGTCCATCTGAAAGCAATCCATTGATGCAAGGATACGTTGCTAGTTCAATTTCTTTATAAAGCTGTTTACAGTTGTTTAGAAGGTTACAATTGCTCGATAATGATAGAAAATGTACAAAATTTATTTACCATTTTTAATTGAAATCCTTCAGCTTCACAGAGATTGTAAAAATGATTCCAATTGAACTTTTGCCGTTTTTTCTCGGATATCCAGTAACCGATGGTATATTTTTCGCACATTTTCTTTTCCATTTACAATTCTCTTACGTCGAATAAAATATTTATCCATTAAAGAGAATGCAATACATTATTTTAACAGACACCCTATGTGAATTATATTAATTGTTTTCTACGAGAGTCTTACTTTAAGTAATCTCATATTTTCGTCAAAATGTTAGGTTATATCTGTTGTGATATCTAAACGCAATATTATTACGTTCTTCTAATTCACAAATATTTCACACGTTCTATATCTAGAAGATATTAATTCTTCTATACTTAAACTTGAAGCATAACACTACTCGTATAATTTACGTGCATACATGCGATAAATGATCATAGGTTAGCAAGATAACAATGATGGCCGCATTCTATAACACTGTTACTTTTCCTTAATTATACATACTTTCATAATTTGTCGGTACACGATACAAACACTTTAAATAACAAATTTTCTTATAATGTATCGATGCAGTTATGAATCATCTCCTACTGTTTATGTGGAAGCACAAGTAGTCGGGAATACGTCACCGCCGTTGCATCTTCAAATGCAATGCATACATACGTAATTCCGGCATACTCGTCAACGCACTTTTCGTCAAAGCAGCAACTTTAAATTTCCCCTATACTTTGTACCAACGACTAAAAAATATAAAAACTTTACTAAGCACATGAACATAGTATTTGATCGATTTTAAATTAATTTCGAAAGACAAGAGCGAGATACACACGTAGAAATTTCTTTATTTAAATAAATGAATAATAACAATCTTATTGTATTAAGCTGTCACTTTGTTGCGTTCAATGTGAAAACATAACGTTTATGGTTTCAATGTATGATCAATAAATGTATATTTTCGAAAATCTAAGTCTTGTATTTGAAGTCAAAGGTTTTGTAATAATACTATTGAAAAATAAAAGAATCGCTGCTTAAGCAGTTGTACTTACTTTTGAGGACTCGCTCCACAAAGTCAACGTCTCCTTTGTGACAAAGACTGTAATTATATTGTCTTGATCATTGGTATTCAGCATTTTAATTTCGCCCAGAGAACAAGAACCGGAACTCGGCATGAACAATTCACCCTCAGAGCGGGAAGTGTCCAAAGATACCGACTCGATCTGAAATTATGAAATGCGTTTAATATAAAGAATCTTTCATACGGACGCCATTACAAGAAAATATCTTACTGTCTGTGAGACTGTTGGAGGCATGTCTTCCAACGTCCTAAAAATAAAATAAACAAATGCGAGAAATTATATAAGTAATAATTAAGTAGTAATAATAGTAATAATACTAATAATAGTAGTAGTAGTAATAATAATAATAATAATAATAATAATAATAGTAATAATAATAATATTAAGTAATAATTATATAAGTAAGCACTCGTATTTTGATGTAAAATTACATTAATATTAAGACGCGTAATTTACTCATAGCCAGCAAAATTATGATTTTCTGTTGAAGCGACCATGTCAAGTTGATCATTTCTTTGATAAACCCTCCAGTACTAATTGATAAAACAAGCCAATAGGAATACAACATAGATATTAAGAAAACGATAAGAAAATCATGTTTGCACCTAGGATTCTGCTGGACCAGAGTCGAATGATTCGCGGCGAGTGTGGAATGTAACAGTTGCTCGTGTATCTCGTCATACAAGTCTGAAAGAATCTTCTCTTTTTCAAATGTATGGCCGCGTGGATGTTCTTCATTGAATACTCTGCTGGAAATACTGTTCACTGGGTCATTCGTTTCCGTAATTTGATCGGTCTCATTTATCTTGCCGGTCGACTCCGTCGTTTTTAATAGTTTTGGTTCGTTTCTCGAAGAGGATCCAAGAGATACGCAATCGCGCAAAGAATCAGAAGACGATGACCCTCTGTCATTATATTCTACTGGGATTTTTCTTTTATTCTGGTCCAACTCGGACAACTCGATCCTCTCATTTTCCACTCTAGAACTTGCTTTACTCGGAAAATCTTCGTTAACAGAATCCTTTAGACGCGTACTCTCGGCTCCTTTATTTTTTATAATAGACAAGCTATTCGTTGTCTCCGATGCTGCACCTTCGCATGCCGGCACCGATACGTTGCTCTGCACTCTTTCATCAGTTCTGCTCCGATCGGTTTCCATTCTAGCTAAATTTCCATCATTATTACCCTTCTGTTCCACGTATTCGCAGCTTTCTACGACGCCGTCCTCCATTTTTCTGTTCGAGCTACCGTTGCTTTTCGCACTCAAAAGTTCTCTCAACGATTCGACGCTCGAATTAACGTTACTCGGCTCGGTGACCGAGTTCTCTTGTTTCAAGCATTGCTCCGCAACTTGTTCAGAATTCGAAGATCGACTCGCTGGCTTATCGACGAAATCGGCGTCAATGTTTTCACAAACGGATTCGCCGCTGGCATTTTTCTCGCTAATATTTACGCCGCTTTTCACGATCTCCTTCGCATCAGTCCGGATCCCCGAGCATTTCTCCTCAGATTCGTCGTCGGTCTTCAGGCGTGCAGTGTCCATCTCGTGCGCGTTCGACTCGACATTGTTCACCGGCGCGTTCTCCGTTATCAGTAACTCAAGATTATGCGGCGAGCCGGTCGCGTCGCTCTGAAAATTCTCCAGCAAGTTCTTCATTAATATCGGCATCATTTTCTCCAGATCCAATGCATTTTTTACTTTATCCTCGAAGCCAGCTTGCTTTCCTTCAAACTCTTGCAGGATCACCGCGCGTTCCTGCGGACTCGGCTCTTTCTCAAGGTCACCGAGGACTCTCGACGCTGCTTCCAATTTATCTTCGCCGAGGCTCCGCGTGTCCGTGCTCGCTGACGAGACATTCGCGGAGCTGATCAAGCTCGAGCTTTCGTCTCCCGCTCGGAAAGCGGCCGCACTTCGCGAACGTTGCACTTGGAAGAATTTCGCGAGCGTTTTCTCGATGTGCCTTGCAATCTTGCCGCTGTCGCTTTCGGTCAACGCGGTCTCCGCATTCGATGAAATTCTCGCGTCTGTCCGTTTTCCAACTTTCGAATCGCCTCTTAACGGATCGCCCATCGAGCTTTCGGGAGAGACGCGTTTCTTCTCCGAATCGCAATCCGGCTTATCGAACCGAACCGCTCGCGATTTCACGGATCTCGCGCCCTTGGCCCGAGTCATTGTCCCGCAGGATCTGCGCCCCTCGTTTATATCCTTGTGTTTCATAGCTCTTTCATCCCTAACCGATTTTCTCTTTGGCATCTCGAGATCGTTGCGAGATCGTTCGCGCAACCGCGCCGGTTTCGTCGACTCGCTGTACTGCGAGGCCGCGTCGTTTTGCAGAAATTCCCTCAGCTCTGGCCGCGTTAAATACTCGTCTATCGTTCTTATCGACTGCGACGCGTCCTCGATCATTTTGCTATAAGCCAGCAGTACGTCATCGAATTCCTCGATGGCCGGATCATACAATTCTTCTTCGACGGTCGAGCCCTCCGAGCCCTCGCCGGAAGTATCCAAGTTCAAAGATTCGGGAAGGCTGTGATCCTCTAGGCTTCGATCATTCCGGTCGCAATATTTGCGACGGAGACTCGCGAAATTTTCTTCGACGACCTTATAGCACTCGCGCTCGCGATTCCTCTCATCGTGGACTTTCTTTTCCTCTTTTTCCTCTTCTCGCTCGCGCGGCGACGAGAAGTCCTGGCGTATTTTAATTCCTCCCGCAGGGAGGAAGTCTTCCAATTCAATGGGTTTGCTTCTCTCTTCATTATTTCTTGCTTCCGGTTCTATAATGTCCTCGTGGACCTCCTCGGGGACCTCCTCGAGGACTTCCTCGCTGAAACGCACTTGCTTGTGCTCGCTTTTCACACCGGCAGCACCCTTCTTCGCTGCTCCGCAGTCCGTTCCTTCCTCGAACGTCTCAATCTCCACCCGCGCTTCCCGATCTTCCGGTTTTCTGTCGACGACGTCCTCTGTCGTCACCGATTCAATGTCTTCCTCGTTCCCACCGCCGATCGCTGCTCCCTCGTCCCGTTTTCCCGCGTCTTCCGCATCGTTCCCGACGTTCGCCGAAGAGGCTCCAGCAGATGTTCCCGAAATATCTGCCGACGATCCTCTCGAAACCGAACCGCGCGAGGACTCGTCGCTATCCTTGACTTCATTCGTCGCTGTCCCGTGCTTCTTCCTTCGGTTCTCGCTCGGTCGTTTGCTATTCGCGGCGTCCCTAGGCTCCTCGAATATCTTCGCGAACTTCTCCTTGCGGGCCTGACCTTTGGTCCCGCATCCGTGGGAAACTATGTAAGTCCCAACGTTCGCGTTCTCTTGGACGAACGACGGATCCGGCGATATATGAATGCTCTCCAAATTCCGGGCGGTCAGTTGCCTTTCGATGTTCACCGTCGGACATGCTTGATAGCTGAAGCTCTTCAACCGCGGGTTTCGCTCGAGGCTCGGCGCATCGACGGCTCCCTTGGCTCTCTCTGCTCCGCTCTGTGTATCCACGCCCGAAATTCCTGGATCCTGGACCACCGACGGGCCGCAACACCTGAATTCCTTGCAGCGTTCCTCGGGCATCTTGAATTTCGGCGCGGAGAAATCGGTGATCTTCCTCGGCACGGCGCGAAGCTTTCTTTCGTACGATATTCCCTCGGTTTTCGGATTCCCGTGACTCGCGTCCGGTCGGCTGTTCGCCTCTTGAAATTTCCAAGCCACTCGTTCACGCACGTATAACAGTTGGTCGTTCTCGTCGTCCAAGGACACCTCGGCCGAGTACCTGTGAGGAATTTAAACGTTATTCGAATTCTTGGATTGTAGGGTGTAAAATAATATATATGTAATCGGGTATAAAATAATTATGTGCCGTAATTATGTTAGCAACCGGGAAGGAGCGATTTCTGAGGTGATTTCAAGCAACTTTTTCCTTAGCGAAAATTCGATCCGCGGCTTCGTTTACGAGTTATTGACGAAAACAATCTGGCCAATGAGAGGCGAGATCTGCTGGCGCAAGGCAGTCCAGCGGTCGAGGGTCATTGGCACGGCCGCCTAGCGACAGGCGAGCTCGTCTCTCATTGGTCACTGTTTTTCGTTAATAACTCGCAAACGAAGCCGCGGATCGTATTTTCGCTAAGGAAAAAGTTGCTTCGAATTACCACGGGAATCCCTCATTTCCCGGAAGTAACATAATTTCGGGACATCCTGTATATGTACACTCATACACGAAAGTATTCGAACACTGACCTCCGCACATTTTTGGTGGATTTTTCCCGTATTACGTCAACAATAGCCGGTAAACCAAAAATGCCAAAAATGCCAAAAGTGCATTCTAATTTTACAGATTTTTTCAGATGCACTAACAAGTCAAGACAACAAATTATATTTATACATGTGTTTTGTACATAACTGTCCGTACCCGTAAAGTGGGTTCCGGTCGTACAAGTTGCAAGACAAAAAGTTCAAAATATATAAACAAATCATAAAATTGTGTAAAACGGAGATATGAAACGACATCGATCGTAAATAAATAATAACGATATATAATAGTAATAATAAAAATAAAAAGTACAGTAAAGTTTTAAACAATAGAGATATAAAACTAATAATAAAAGTTTAAGAAAAAAATGTATTTTTATAACTTTTCAACTGAATTTTATAAAGTGTTCGAATACTTTCGAGTGCGTATAAAGTCATTCGATTACGCGGACACCCGAGAGATAACCCACGTTTTCACAGGCGTTTGAAAACCGTTGCAATCGGCGACCATGTTGATTGCTTTGATTTGGATCTGTGCATCTTTCACCAATCTGTCCACATTCTCGAGCGCTGCCGATGTTTCCGGGCTGAGGTCCGGGGAGACAGGAGGCATCGTGGCAGATCTTTTACTATCCAGCTGCGACAGAAATTCAGAGAATTAACAACGATGCAAGACACAAATTTTTGTATAATAATCGAATTGCAACGGACGTTTGTTAGGCGATTCTGACATGTTAAAAATATATGGAATTTATCACGTTTATTGAATATCAATATTATAGTAAATAATAAATAATAAATATCACAATATTTCTAATAAATGAATAATAAAATATGACAATATTTCTAATAAATAAATAATAAAATATCACAATATTTCTAATAAATAAATAATAAAATATCACGATATTTCTAATAAATAAATAATAAAATATCACAATATTTCTAATAAATAAATAATAAAATATCACAATATTTCTAATAAATAAATAATAAAATATCACAATATTTCTAATAAATAAATAATAAAATATCACAATGTTTCTTTAATTAATTTTCGAATAATTTAAAAGTATAAAAGTAAAATTAATTAATTTTCGAATAACTTAGAATTATAAAAATAAAATGAATTGATTTTCAAATAACCTGTAGTAAAAGGAAGATTATTGAAATATTCTCGTTCTTCCAACGCGGACATAACATTCTAGTGAGTTCTAGCGAACATCCGGGAAACGTTTGAACGCTCTGGACGGTTCGAAATATGTACTTTCGGACGACGGGTCAATGTTGAACACATGCAATTCGGATAAAAAGCTTCGGAACATTCTGCAGCAGGCGATAAAGTTTAAAGCGGGGAGGAAATGTGATTGCAGAGTGGGCCCCGTAAAAGGATTCGTAAAATGGAGGTAAAAATGTCATCTACTTTAATTTTATTTCCGCACATTTATGCACATTTTCACGTCGCCCGCGAGATATATGTAGAATAATTGTTTTTTTCTTTTTTATTCGGAAAAAGAAATTTTAACCAATGGTCGAATTCGATTCGATAACGCGACCGGAAAAAAAACAAAGTCGAAAGTTTAAATTATCGTAATTACCCGATCATCGTTAACAGGATTCGCGGGTGTTAATGGAACGTTTCGTCCGCTCCTGCTGGTATCCGTCTTGCAAACGGAAGTTTTCGACGTCACCAGTCTCACACGACTCCTGTCGCATTGAATTCCGTTCCGACGACGATGCGTCGGCTCGCCTGTTTTGCAGTAACAATCGCACGAGGACTGCGAATGCATCTTCCTGTGACAAACCGCAGACGAAGGAACCGAGGGCCCCTTTTGCAAGTCCAAGCAGTCTACAATGTTCTGCTTACTCCTGTAACATGTATTGTAATTGTTTGTTACAGTATCAAAATAATGCTTCAGCAAGTCAAGGGTGAAATATTAGTATAAGATTATATTATAATATATATAAATATAATATAATATATATAATAATTATATATATATATATATATATATTATATAATATAATATTATATTATATATTATATTATAGTATAAGATTATATTATAATATAATCTTATAATATATAACTATATATAAATATACTTATAATATATATAAGTATAAGATTATGCAATGAACGAGAATGAAAAATAACAGCGACAAAGAAAAGATACAGTAAATTCTTTTAGAAAATTAGTAAGAATTATTTTAGTTATTTTAGTAATTAGTAAATTAATAGTACGAAAATGGACAATTCGAGAAGAGAAGAATAAGATTATTCGAGCTCCGCGACTAGTTTTCATAGTTTGCGATTGTCAACAATTATAAAAACGAGGTGCAAGGTGTAAATAATTGTATCTCCTCTCCCCAAATTGTCTATTTTTGTGTACAAGCTGGAAAAAAAGATTGAGGAGAATTTACTGTACTGTGTAATTCAAAGGGCAGGATCATCGCATTTCCATAAACAAAATGTTTTTCCATCGAATGACCTTTTATAAATCTCATCAGATAAACTTCACAAAAGTTTACGACATAATAAAATCGTGATCATAAATAATTATGAATTTATTTTATCATGAATATATATATTTATATAATTAAAATAAATTTAATATATTTATTACGTACGAATACGTTTGATGATAGATCCGATCGAATGATTTGAATGATATATTTCTTATGCATTTAACAATTTTATCGTGCTTTTGGAATCGTAATTACGCTAATTAAATCTATTTACGCTGTACAATTTAAAATCTTATAAATACAGTAAATTCTCCTCAATTGTCCCTCGGCTTGCGAACAAAAATGGATAATTTGGGAAGAGGAGAGATTACATTGTCCTACATTGTCAATTTTTGTTTACAAGCTGAAGGAAAATTCGGAGGAATTTAGTTGCGAGGCCAAAGCGTAAGATATGGGACCGAAAATGAAAGGGTTAGACACGCGCGAATCGCGGTATACAAGTTCACGAATCGATGACAATAAAGCTATACGAGTTTCTTTCGTGGCGGGGTGGTTGTCCTCGGGCTTCCCACCACCCATCTTTCACGTGCAAAAATCAAACCGTCCCATGTATTACGTTGTCAGCCATTCCACGTTCTATCCTGGATACGCCGAGGAGTGTCTTTACTATATGTACAATACATATGTATAGCAAATATCGATCCTTAAAGGGAGCCGCTACTTTCTTCCTGTTCCTCTATCGCGTCGAAAAATTACATAATTTCGCTGCCATCCGCATACCACCCAGCACATTCTGCTGAACCAAACGTGACGAATTTTCATTTCAACGATTAACAAATTAATAACAATAGGATAGTAGGATTCGTTGAATTCGATGAATGAATTATTTCCTGGAATATTTTTTCCTTTTTATTCCGCCATTTTGCAATGTTCCGCCCCAATTCAACAAAAACGAAATTAACCCTTTGCTGTCGAAGCTTTTTAATTCGAAATTCAAAGCATATTTTCTGGTCCACAATATTTTCCATTTTATATGACTTAGTACGATTTATTCGTATGAAATTGAGCCTGCCAGCAAGTACAGTGCAATTTTAACCATTTTTTGAAAATATAAACGAATCTGATACCGTCGCCAATTATCTAGAAAAATAGTATAGCAATTTTTAGTGACGCCTCGGGAGTCGCCGTCGAGTGCAAAGGGTTAAGAATCGAAATTTATAAAAATATTTATATTGGGATGAAAGCTGAACCATCGCGATACCGCCATGACCAAAGATCCATAACCTAAACAACGATGCAACAACCGTCGTTTCCCGACGGCGAGAAAATTTACGTCAGCTAAGCTGTTTCGTTCGATTGTTCAATGCTTTCTCTTTAAATTCTACTCGCCATAAGCAGAGGTCCATAACCTAAACAACAATGCAACAACCGTCGCTTCCCGACGGCGAGAAAATATACGTCGGCTAAGCTGTTTCGTTCGATTGTTCAACGCTTTCTCTTTAAATTCTACTCGCCATAAGCAGAGGTCCATAACCTAAACAACAATGCAACAACCGTCGCTTCCCGACGGCGAGAAAATATACGTCGGCTAAGCTGTTTCGTTCGATTGTTCAACGCTTTCTCTTTAAATTCTACTCGCCATAAGCAGAGGTCCATAACCTAAACAACAATGCAACAACCGTCGCTTCCCGACGGCGAGAAAATTTACGTCGGATAAGCCGTTTCGTTCGATTGTTCAACGCTTTCTCTTTAAATTCTACTGGACTGTCCAGGTACTGTACGTCGTCCAGCAGTTCCCGAATTGCTAAAAAATAGAAGGAAATTCGTTATCCCTGAAAACGAAGGGAGAGTTACCCCTCGTAAAATAATTTTCGAGAAAAGTCGTCGCCTGTAAGGACCCTCCTTTTAAGGCCCAGCATCTGGACACCGTCGCTTTTACGACGGGTACTTGAGACCTGGCCGCATACGGCACGCACATGGGAAGGTTAGAATTAAGAGAACGGGAAGGTTAGGTCCGTCGCAAATCGCATCGCCTCTTCCCAAAATCGTACATTTTCGTTTCCAAGCCGAGCATCGATTTGACAGAATTTTGCTCTATTTCGTACATTCGTACGGTCGTTGCAGTCGATCGTTATTAAAGATGAGCCTTTATGCTAAATTACCGTGCTACACTTGTTGATTTAATTCGACACCTCGCGATCAGCATTTTGCACGTAACAGCTTCGCTATTTTCTCTCGCCTGGTTGAAGGTTCGCAGGGTTCACGTTACGTCTAATGGCAGTCCAAGATGGCGAAAGGGACTCGCCGCTGTGTAAATTGCAGCGGGAAGATATCGTAGACGATGACGTCGTCGGGGTGTCTTCAACGGGCTTCCCGCTTTAATGTCCCTCACGGGCTCCGTGATCAATAACAATACGTCAAAGGTACGTAATCCGCGGCGTCTTTTAAAGGGGATGGATCGGTGTGCCGATGTATCACACGCGTTCATAGTGAGTCATCGAGGGCTTCGATTGAAACGAAACGCACCGGCGAATCATCCCCTGACTTTGGCCAGATATCGTCGAATCGGCGAACGCTTCTTTAACCTTTTAGGCACGACGCGCCACTATAGTGGCTTCCGCGGATATCATCTTTTAGAACGACACACCACTATAGTGGCTTTCGAGGATGTCATCTCTCTGGACGACGCGCCACTATAGTGGCTTGCTCTAGTAGCTCGCTCGCTCATCGTTTGAACCAAATAATCGTCTTCATATGCATTGTCTCATACTTCTTTTGTCTTCGCATCGATTTACAACAGTCTACAGGGTGTCCCAAAAATGTCTCGCAATCCAGAAATGGCGGGTTCCTCGGATCATTTGGAGCAACTTCTTCCTTTACAAAAATTTTCTCCGAGGCATCGTTAACGAGTTATTAACGAAAAACAGTGACCAATAAGAATCGAGTACGGCTGACGCGAGGCGGCCCAGCCAACCAGCGCGCGAAGCCCAGTTCCGCTCATTGGCTCGGTCGCCTCGCGCCAGCCGAGCTCGCCTCTCATTGGTCACTGTTTTTCGTTAATAACTCGTTAACGGTGCCTCGGAGAAAATTTTTGTAAAGGAAGAAGTTGCTTCAAATGGCCTGAGGAACGCGCTACTTTCGACGCCCTGTATATACAGTATCAGACTCTGTTTACAGTACACATCAGACTCTGCCCTCCAGAGAAATAGCCTCGCGCAGGATTTAGCCGTACCTAAAAGGTTAACACTAAACCTACCACGGCCAAAATGACCGATTTCTTATTTTACGATACTACAAACTTCGAAGACTTCTTCGTGGAAAATGATTAAATAAATTATATTATCGAAACAAGTCTCATAATTAAAACTTTACAAAATCCAAGTGAATTCTATCTTTTCACTCTTACGAGTCAATGCACGCTAATCGTCGTTATAGGTCGGTTGGTTTAGTGTTAATTGTCAAATATTTCCTCGTAAACAGAAATAAAAACAGAAATCTCTTCTTTAGATTTGGCTCCTCTTTGGTCTCTCTTCTTTGGACCGGTTGAAAATTTGCACGCAAGTTGTACTTGCAATTTGGCGAAAATGGAACAGGATCAAGTAACAATTGTTATGAATACGAAGAAGCTTCTCTAACATCCTCATCTTTTTAAACAATTTCGAGAAGTCAAATTTTTAGTTTCAAGGGAAGAGTTAACACCTTTTGGACAGCGCTATTTTTCTTTTCCTTCTGTACAGATAAGGGAAAATGTAATTGCTTCTATATTATAAACATCATAGACTGAAAAGTTAAAAAAGTCATTCATTTTCTAGTAAGATGATGAACAAACGAAATGTCACGAAGGTATACGAACCATAAATCGGTTACACGAATGGCTGCTGCAATTTATTTTGCAATGTATACTTTGTATAGGTCTCAAAGAAATAATGCTAACGCATGTGTTTTATCTGAACAATTCAGTAACCCGTATCGCATTTCATAACAAAAGCTGTAAATACAAATTTCTACGAACTGTGAAACGATTCGTAGCGACGGTTTTCCATGAACGTGGTGTAGTCATCGTTGTGACGACGTGCTCTTTAAGAGCCCTTAATGATCCTTTAACATTCTCTCCTCTCCTAATTATTCACTCTCGACGATACTCTAACAATAACAACATTTGTATCGTGCAAATTCGTTCTACAAATAACATGAAAACTAATAACGTGAAATAAATGACAATAACAAATCGACGTACAACGAATATCCTGGCATTGAATCATTAAAAAGTGCATTCTTCCATTTTCAGTCGAACCTGAGAACGCCGTCGTAATTCTTGGGTCAAGGAGTAACATTCTAAAATTATAAATGTTCTAAAATGAAACTTCGAGGTACATACGTAGATACAGCAACACTACACAATTATAGACACCAAAGTAACTTGTACGTTCTTAACGATATTTAAATAAAAACTTAACAAGATATCCTGCTTGCATATTTCTATATCATAAAAATAATAGAAAATAGAAATGTACAATTACAGATGTTTTCTTTTTATTTTTGTTCAAATATTAGTAAAAAGGTGAAAGTTACCTTGATATAGGTAATATATTAGTACCTTATTAGGTTATCTTATATTATTACCTTATAGGTAATTTATAATTATAAGGTAATAATAATATAATAATATAAGGTAATTATATATATATAAGGTATAATAATAAAAAATATAAGGTAATTTATAATTATACACAGTACTGTAGGTGGCCTTTTTTCGCCGAGACACCCTGTCTATTTGAAAAGAAAAAGAACCTAACGAAACATCATATTTGTATACATGTATTTCAATATTAAAAACGGTAGAAAATAAAAATATACAAATACGATAATTTGTTACGTTTAGACGTCGGTAACGATGTAAAAGCGATTTCGATACTAACGATTGTGCGCTGTAGCGACGAGTTAAGGTGAACCGCTGACCAATTTAAACAATTTAATAGTGGCAACGTGAACCACGAATTAAGCTATCGAACGGCGTCTAATAATAAAAGCGTGACGAAAAGGTGAAATTCAACCGGGATTCAAGCGAATCGTCGCGCGTCGTCGGCGCCGCGCCGTGGAAAATATTTTCGTGCGTTCGTTCTCGCGAAACGATCCCCGCCGATGCCACAATATGGCGATATCGGGCACGTTGCGTGTGCATGCACGTGCCGTCGCGTCGTGATCGCGCCGTATCCCCGGTTTCGGCACGTTCGCCCCTGTACACACACGCACACACGGTGTCCATCCTCTTTAAACGAACGGGTCGACCCGTTGCGCAGACAGCGGAGCGTGGTTGGCATTCGAGCCGTCTGGGAGAGACAGATCAATATGCCGGTTTTCCCCGTTTTCCTCCTTCGCCCCTTCCGGTCGCTCGCCGACACCGCCTGCCCCCACCCCTCCGTGCCAGCGGTCGGCCATAACAGCGACCGAACCTCTTTCTCTCTCTTTGGCCCACCTATCACACAACAGCTGAACATTGGCATTGATTTTCAAAGTTCAGGAAGTCTTCTGGAGCCGGGTGTTGTGACCGGACTGTATACGCGTCCTCCCTCTCCCCTCCTCCCCCGCGGCACTTGCACACGCCCCGGGCCCAGAGACACGCGCCGACGGGATGAAGACACAACGGTCTCTCGCGTAGACGCGCTCTCCTCGTAGAAAGTTCCGAAAGAAAGTAACCCGACCGCCGGCAGATGACGTAACGAGGTTTCTTTTATCGCTGGAAATGCTTCGAACGAAATTCCAGAAATGCGGCTCGCGCTTGTTCGCGTTGTTTTCAGGACGGAATTAGGCGAGATCGGTTTACGTTGAATTTGTTGTCGATGCGAGTAACGTTATGCGACGTGGAGATCGTTCTGTTCTATTATTCGCTTTTCGTGGGCGTGCGTAGTTAGGTAGTTTTTATGGTTAGAGAACGGTTTTTCTTGATTCTCGTCGAATTTCTGAAGATCGGACACCGCGGATTTGACGCGTTTATGATCGAAATCACTGAATCAGATATCAGAGTGCAAGCATGTTAAAACAATTTTAAAAACATCGCTATCTTCTTCACAGACTATTAACCCCTTGCACTATTGATTTCTTTTGCAGCTACCTTGATCAACTGTTTTTTGTCCTCAATCGTAACCCTGATAAAACGACACAATTTTTGTATTTTGTATGTCTTCATTTACTTTGGATCCTAGATTTTGATAACAGAACGATCAAATTTTATTTTCATTGAGAAGAGACGAAGAATGTTTGCATTTAATAGATTGCGTATAAAATCTTCATCACGAGTCTGACTCGTTGTTTAATATTATTTAATATTATAATTATTATTATTTAATATTATTCGGAACGGAGAATATGTTTGTATTCGATTTCTGTTTCTTACAATTGAGCTTGAACGTTTTTATTTTGCATTAAGATCCGCATTCTAGTATCGATCTGACAACAAGGAAATTGCGGTGTCGGTGTTGCAAAAATTACATTAGCTTACCGCACGGTGTAACGCATTTTTGTTTCAGTTTGATTTCATGGCGCTGCGTAATTAAAGTAAATCGACTCCTGAGAAAACTAATTGCTCAAGTTCGCTACGCTCGTGGAATTGAATTGTATTTTTTCAGAACGAACACAACGAAATTCCAATGTAATAATTGCTGCGTTTAAAAGAAATATGTACTACGATTCTTTGCTACTCGTTAAAATAATAAGAATATTGCCAACCGAGAGTATAATAATGCTAGCCAGCATGGATTCCGTATACGCGATATGTCTGCCAGAAGGTTCATTGATTTCGGAGAAGCTAGGACGCCCGGAAGTTCTCTTGGTGTCATTGACATTGTCCTTCGAGTCTGGTATTGATCGACGAATTTGGCGGGAAGTTGAAAATTTGGGACAGTTGACGGTGACGTACCACTATAAACAGTCCTGAGCATCGTGTCTAAGGGCGGGTGTCCATCTGATAGCAAAACTTCTCGACAGATGATTCTATAGTACGTTAAAAAGATAATAGTATAAAATAGATGACAATTTGAAAATAATCGTGAACTGTCTAGGTCACAACGATAATGTTATAAAATAGATGACAATTTAAAAATAATCGTGAACTGTCCAGGTCGAAACGACAAACCTTCGAATTACGATTCTACAAGATAAATGTATGAAATATATTGTAATAATTTTTATAAATACGCGATGGTTAAATTTGTCGTGATAAAAATCAAATAATACGATAATGTACGCTCCGCTCCAAAAATATTAGGACACCTGCTTGTACTAAATAAGTAAGTCGCTATAAAATATAAAATATTAGGGTGTCCCATAAGTTCCTTCCGCGCCGCGCTACGAATGACTTTAACTGGCTGTGTTTATATAAACACGAAGGCTTATCTCTTGGCTGTTTAGGGTATCGGTTGCAGTCGTCCCAGAGCTCTTTTAGAGTATGTTTCGTTGGTGACAAAGTTCCTTATCAAATTTTTTCTGCGCCGTTCGATATGGATAGCTAAAATAAGCATTTGCGACATGTTATGCTTTATTGCTTTAAAAGAAGTGATAGGGCAAAGGACACTGCAAACGAGATTTGTACCGTTTACAGTGATGGTTCTACGACTATTAGGACAGTCCGCAATTGATTTGAGAGATTTAGAGCTGGCAATTTTGATTTGAAAGACGAAGACCGCAGCGGCCGACCAACAACGACGGATGCGGACCTTGTCAAAGACATGCTCGTTGAAAATTCGCGATATAGTGTGTGCGAGATAGCGAATGCCACTAGCATACCCAGGACAACGGTACATAAGCATTTAATCAAGATGAGATATGTGAATCGATTCGAAGTTCCACACCGTCGATAGGTGTTGACACCAGCCTTATGAACCGCGTCTCTACGTGCGATTTGCTTCTCCAACGACATGGAAGAAATCCTTTCCTAAAGAGACTTCTCACTGGAGACGAGACTTGGATTTTATACCAAAATGTGCATCGTAAACGAACTTGGTCAAAAGGAAATAGTCCCTCAATTGTTGCGAAGTCAGGACTTCATACGAAGAAAGTTCTTTCGTGCGTTTGGTGGGACTGGAAAGGCGTAGTCTACCACGAGTGCCTTTCTCAAGGTGAAACGATCAATTCGGCTAAATATTGTAATCAACTCGATGAATTGAAAGCCACCATAGCAGAAAAACGACCAGAATTGGCGAACCGACGCGGCATCGTTTTTCATCGCGACAACGCAAAACCGCGTGTTGCGTTGTTCGTAAGACAAAAATTATTGCAGTTCGATTGGAACGTTCTACCTCATCCTCCGTACTCTCCAGACATTGCTCCATCCCGATTATTACTTGTCCTTTTCGTTAAAAAATTTTCTCCATGAAAAACGGTTTAAATTCGTAAGCGAAATAAAAACGCACCTTGAACAATATTTTGCAAATAAGCCTCAACAATTTTGGAAAGAGGGCATAATGAGGCTTCCTGAGAGATGGAAGAAGGTTATAGAACAGAACGGTTCATATATATCATAATAAATCCATCTTAAACAAAAAATATCGTGTATTCATTTCGCATCAAAAAAAGGGAAGAAACTTATGGGACACCCTAATATATTGCAATTTCGGTAACGTTTGCGTGCTTCATGGCATCGTATTGCCGAAAATACATACAAAGTCATAAGTGTTTCTTATTATTATTATTAACCGTTCGTTGCATCTGGTTCATTGAAAACGTGTGCCAAATTCATTTCACACGTTTCCTTAATACGCGGAACATAGTGCAAAATATATGGAAATATATACATGTCAAATTGATGCTGAAATTAGTCCAAGAAATAATGAAAAAATGCGTTGGACATATCGACAGAATTTAATTTCCTTTTCTAAAATTCACGTTACTTTTATCATCACATAAAAACTATACAGGGTGTCCCGAAAATGTCTCGTAATCCGAAAGTGGCGGGTTCCTCGAGTCATTTGAAGCAACTTTTTCCTTTGCAAAAATTTTCTCCGAGGCTTCGTTTACGAGTTATCAACGAAAAACACTGACCAATAAGAGGCGAGCTCGGCTGGCGCGCGGCGGTCCAGCCAACGAACGCACGGAGCCCGGTTCCGCTCATTGGCTCGGCCGTCTCGTCTCTGATTGGTCACTGTTTTTCGTTAATAACTCGTAAACGAAGCCGCGGATTGCATTTTCGCTAAGGAAAAAGTTGCTTCGAATCACCTCAGGAATCCCCTACTTTCGGATTGTGAGACATTTTTGGGGCACCCTGTATATACATTTATTACAGTTCAATAAAATTAGCTTCGAAATAAATTCAAGTCATTACAACAATTTTCCATCGGTATCATTAAATTGTTCCAATTTCCTGTACGTGTCCAAAACCTTTTGTATTTATGAGGAACATTCGAAAGGAAGAGGGCGGTACCTGGAAAAACGTGCAAAAATATCCGGAACGGGTAAAGAGAAACAAGCACGATTGTTACACATCAACACATATATTTTTGCTTTTGCATGTTGCATACATACGATAAACAGTACAGTGTTACGCGTTCCTCGAGGTATGGTATACTAGAAAATTTCATTATCCACTACTACAATTGCTATTCGACGTTATTTTGCCTCGTACTTCCGCTTTTCTTTCGTGTGTAGTCTGCGTGGCTATATGAGTCTATAAAAAAAAGAAAGAAGGAAAGAAAGAACGAAAGAAAGAAAGAAGGAAAGAAAGAACGAAAGAAAGAACAAACAAACGGAGCGAACGACACGCGTGTAATGCGTTTGTTTGTAAAACGGCTGGGCTTCGCAAACAGATCCCGTCTCGTTCGGTACAATGTTTATTGTGCGCTCCAAGCGCTTCATCCGAAAGAACGTGTGTGTATCGTGTGTATCGATGGTTCGTCGAAAACGGTTTGGTCGTCGACAACGAAATCGACTGGCGGAATGCAACGGGGGCTAATACCGAGAGAAGGGGTGGGGGGAGGTGGCTCTCTCCTGCGGCGGTCGTTGAAGGCCCGTCAAAGGAGAGAAGCTGATTCATTCTCGAACCGGATGTCGCTCGATTTTCTCCCGTGGCATTCCCCGATTTCGCTCGTCTAGCCGACCGACGGTCCGACAAATTTCTTCGGCAGTTTATTCGCTGCCGCTGACCGAAAAAAGAAAAAAAAAAGCACACGCGCTGCGCTGCCTCTCGGGGGCTGAGCGGGTGAGAACAGTGTTGTACACATCGAACACGCGCGCGCGCACACGGTCCGGAACGAATTTTCTCCTCGTCCGCAAAACATCGTCCAAAAATAGTTTCGGGGGAAATTGAGCAAGCGTCGAGAACGCGGGTCCGATCTTCGCGAGAGCAACGTGAAGAATCGGACGTGAAAACGTAACACGGGCAACGCGACCGGCGCTCAGACGACGACGACGAATTCGACGACCAAAAGTAATAATCGTATTATCGGGAGAACCGCGTAGAAAGAGAACGAAATAAAGGAAGAATTAATTACGGATAGCGAATACGGCTCCACGGATCCGGTCTGTGTGACGAAACAAAAGAGGTCGTATCTGCGTGAGAAAGTCTCGACTTATAAACGAGTTGCATTGTTTCCTCTCTCTATCTCTATCTCCCTCCCTCCCTCTCCCTCTCCCGCCTCTTTGAAAATCTCGTCTCTCATTTTATCTACGAAAAAATGTTATCTTTATTTCTCTTCTTTGCACAGGGACGAACTTTTGACCCCTAAACGAGTGCCGTAATCAACTTTGACATCGAAGGTAGGAACTACCTGCCTCGGACTAAAAAATATCACGTACAGCCTCTGTAAAGTATTGCTACGATCAATTGTGCTCCGTTTTCATTATCGGCGCCCCTCACTCCTCTCGCCATTCCGTTCTCGCTCGCTCGCTCATTCGTTCATTCATTCATTCACTCATTCTCCCTCTCTCTCTCGTCGCATTTTCCCGGGTTTCCTTGTATTCGCGCACTCGCTCTCTCTCTCTACCACTTCCTCGCACTCTCTCTCTCTCTCTCTCTACCGCTCTCTCTCTCTCTCTCTCTCTACCGCTCGCTCTACAGCTCTCTCTCTCTCTCTCGCTCGCTCTACAGCTCTCTCTCTCTCACACAAACAATTTTCCACGATATTTCGGTACATAAGTGTTGCTTACGCTACGCAGATAGCCTCTACGGGGCGTTGTTTCGCCGCGAAACAACGTTGAAAAATGGAACGACGCCGGTCCGCGACCGAAACCGATCCCAAGATGATTCGCGACAAAAGTGGCGGCGGGCGCGGATCGAATTGTTCTTTCGGCGGCGCGCCAACAACCGCCGACCGCTTTTTCAAAGAGGTCTAAACAACAGCTCTAAGCGGGGTGATTCGTCTCGCGCGAACATTTCTTTTCCTTTTTTGCATCGTTTATTTATTTTATTTATTTATTTATTTTTGTTCTTCCTCTTTCGTTTCACTCGCCGCTTCTATATAATATCCCCCCGTGTGTCCATTGTGCCGATCCGTTTTGTACAAATATATATTTATTTACAAAAAAGTACCGCAAGCGTTGCGAGAGGACCGTCCTCGCTCGCGAATTGGAAACGAGAGGGGGACCGAACTCTGCTCGCGACGCAGTGCGCGAACGTGTGTGGTTTTGCCTGCATTTTTCTTTCGCATCATTCTCTTTCCCCTCTCCCCCACTTCCGTCAAAATTCACATTTCTTTTCATTCTTCTTCTTCTTCTTCCTCTTCTTCGTTTTGACATTTTTCCTTTTCTCTCTCTCTCTCTCTCTTTTTTAGACATAGCGAGTGTATGGTTCCTATTTGACGGGCGTACTTCTTTTTTCATCGGCAAAAATGAAAAACCAAAAGGCCCTCACACTTAAAGTCTAGCGATTAACTAAAGGCGAAAGTGGACGTTACAACGATCGGACATCAGAGGTCCGTTTACTTTTTCTTTATTTAGTTTTTCTTTTCTTGTTTTCTCTTTTCCTTTTTTTTTTATTTACTTTATTTTAAGCATGACTGGATAAGAAACGATGCTCGCTCTCCCTCCCCTCCCCTCCCGCCCTATTCCCGTCCTACCCCCGATGTTTCCACGAAATATTCGGACGAGTCTCGCCGAGAGATGCGTTACGAAAACGGGGTGTGTACAAAGAATTCTCGAGAGGAAACGATAGAAAATGAAAAAAGAGAAAAAAAAGAAATAAAGAAAGAAAGAAAGACAGTGATGTATGCGTTTCGAGCGTCTTACGCGCGCGAGTCGGACGAACGAGAAAAATGATGATGAACAAGAGAAATAGCGAAATCGACGAATGCGAATAGACGATCTAGACGTGTACGGTTCCCTTTTTTTTTTTTTCATTCGAGTTCGAATTGTTCGATTGGAAAAACGAGCGTGTAACGGAAAAATAACTCGAGAGAGAAAAACAAAAAAAAAAGAGAAACAATAATTTAAGACGACAGAGAACACGCAAAAACGAGAAATTAAATTTCTTTTGTACATTCAAAAATGGTTACTCTTTTAGTCAGTAAGTTTTATTAATAAGGTGGTATGTACACATATACATAATGTACAGAAAAAACCCGTGCGCTGGGTCTGAATATGATCCGCCGTGTTTCCTTTCTTTCTATGATACAACACGAGAGGTAACAGTAGAAAGAGTGTACAAATAAAAGATTAGAAAAGGACCGAACCGTGTCGGGGACGACCTCGCGCCGACCGGTTCAAAAAACCACCGAAGGGACGCGCTTTCGTTTTCGGCTTCAGTTAAATCCGCGTTATGTCCACGCGATACAACGTGGCTAAAAATAAAGTACAATACAACCGTACAACTCTTACGGCATCGTGTTTACGTGTATATGTGTGTACGCGTGTATGTAACGTGTACATACTCGCGTGCTTGTGTCTGTAATGTATACGTGTTGCAGCAGCTCGGTAGTCCGCAGTTTCCGTTGGCGATACACATGGTACTCGAAAAAAGAAAAAAAAAAGAAGAACAAGAGTCGCGAGAATGCGCTCTATATCTCACGATACAACAAACAAATAAAGGCTGCTCTACCGGGCGCCTAAGTACAAACCCAAACCGGACACGAAATCTCTCCCTTTCCGCGCGACGCGTGTTCCTTTTACGTTGTTTTACTCGTATTAGAAACCGACCACAAAAAATCCGCATGTACGTCTCGTTGGAATCCTTGCTCGTCAACCGCGCGTCCTTTTACACGCAACAATCGTTTCCGTATATACAACCGCTTCTTCTCTATGTATCCTTGTTGTGTATGTGTGTATGTATGTAAAGAGTGTGTGTGTGTCCTCCGTGTACGCAAAAGACCGACGACGCCAGCGTGCAAAAATTGCCAAAGACTTCTTCTCATGACCCGTCAAAAAACGATTGATCGGAAATAAAAAACGATCCGATCGATCCCGAAACATTATCGTTGCCTCCGTGAATCGGCCAACAACCCCCGCGCCCCAAAATCGACCGTGCTGTCCAACAACGATCGCAGGGAAACGAAAATCGTCCACTTTCCCCGGGCAACGCGTCATCAAACAACGCTCGTGAAAAATCCAATTTAATCACCGACAACGTCTTTGGCTCGAGTCGAGACATGCCTGGCCGACAATACCGGCCAAACATCGATCCATCATCACCATTACCAAAATGTAGAATTTCCAGTGGACCTTCACGGTTCCACCATGATTATTCACCCTCCTGACCGAGGGTGGAAAATTTGAGCCCCGATTAAACATTTGACGAGAATCCCCTTAAGTTTCTCTCTCCTTCTTCACTTTCAGACCGGAGCCTGTGGTGTCGTCGCCCAAGATGGTGGCGATCTCGCCTTGCATGAATGCCCATGGCACTTGGCTGTTCGCCAGTGGACACTTTTCTCCGCTCGGGCAGTAAACCTGAAACGAACGGAATTGTATATCGAACCGGTGAAATTAACAGTCGTTAAAAAGAGACCAGCCTAACGGTGGATTCTGGTTTTTCTTTTTAAGCGAGGCTATAGGTACAGTAATGTCTCTCTAATTGACGCTCGGATTGTTCCACTAAAATGGACAATTCGGGGAGAGGAGATACGATTATTCGTGCCTTGCGTCTCTCGTTTTTATAATTCTTGACAATCGGTAATTATAAAAAACGAAGGCTCGAATAATCGCATCTTCTCTTCCAAAATTGTCTATTATAGTGCACAATTTGGGCGACAATTAGGGAGACATTACTGTAATATGACACATACAGTAATGTCTCCCTTACTGACGCTCAGATTGTCCATTATATTGGATAATTTGGCAAGAGGAGATACGATTATTCGAGCCTTGCGGCTCGTTTTTATAATTGTGGACAATTTATAACTATAAAAATAGAACCGCAAGCAGCTCGAATAATCGTATCTCCTCTTCCCAAATCGTCCATTTTTGTAGACAATCTGAGCGTCAGTTAGGGAAACATTACTGTAATCGGAATGTTAACCGCGCGACAACGTCTACAATGATGATGATGATGACGATGCGAGGGAAACCTACCTCTGAACCGGCACCCTGGCGCTTTATGCTCTCCCGGCTGCACGGGAAACAGAATTTGTGGTGCGGCACGCTGGGACATTGAACGAAGTGCGTGTCCTCGAGCCGTTCCTGGCATAGGGTGCACTTCAGAATCGGCGCGGACACTTGTTCCGCTCCAGCTACCTGGGCGACAGCTCCTTCCGACGATGTCGTCACGGTCGTCGACGATACGTGCCTTGAACCACTGGACCTCCTACCCGATGGACCTGTAAGGCAACAACGAAGATATTTTCATGTCGAATTACGTTTACGTTAGCCCTGAGAACTTAGCGGAGACCTACCCCCCGGTGCTAATTTAACCCGGTGAAGCTACGCTTCCCTCCAAAATCAACAGCGCGCTCGCAGAGAATTTAAATAAATTTGCGAAACTGATAAGAAATTGTTACAATTTCTTCAATGAATTTCACAGTTAATTGCATTAACACGTGCCAAAAGATATTTCATGACAAGTTTAGAATTTAGAAGAATTTCTAAGAATGGGACATAAGTTTCTTTCACTGTTATATAGACAATAATTAATAAATACATATAGTATGTATCAATCTTTAAAGTATCAAATGGCCAGAGCTAAGAGTCCAGTAAAAACGTGGAAATTATAACAAGTATAATAATATATATCTATATATAATATATGTTATATATTATTTTATACAATTTATATATTTTATTTTAATATATATATATATATATATAATATAATATATATTATATATTTTAATTAATATTTTATTATATTATTATATTTATATTATATTATTAATAATATATAACATATATATTATTATACTTGTTATAATTTAACACGTTCCATGCCAAGCTGTTTTTACTAGACTCTTCACTCTGGCCAATTGATACTTTAAAGATTGATATATATTATATGTATTTATTAACCCTTTGCACTCGCGCGAGTGGTGACTCCGAGGCACCGCTAAAATTGTTACACCACGTTCCAAAATAATTTTTAATAATATATATAGTTAAATATTATAATATATATACACAATAATATATATATATATACTTTTTTTTACGTTACAATAAAAATAATGTCAACTTTATAAAAGAAAAAAACATTAAATTTTCTCGTCGACAATGTTAATACTTTTGGGGAAGTCAGTAGAAGACATTCCGGCGATTATGGTCCGAACGAACCCGGTTAGCGAATAATTCTCGTTTCGATTCCTGGTCAATACCTGATCCGTTCGGGCTGTGTTGCGAGGTTCTCGAGGCACTGCGTTGCTGAACATTCGTAGCCGTGGTTGGAGGGCTTCTGCTTGTCGGACTGGGATTGTTCGGCGGTTGCGGCACCGATTCCGGCGACGCGAGATTGTCGGCGACGGACATGAGCGCGGCCATCGGCGATGGGCCGTTCGTCGAACCCTGAAGGAGGGAGAGAGAGAGAGAGAGAATTACGGTCAATTTCCATGTCGGTTAGAAACACCTATAAATAAATCAGCGTCGCGCGAAGGCCGCGCGAGCCGTTTTAAAAAGAGCCTCGGTGTGTTGTATCGCAGACACGTTACTTTCGAGGCATCGCGACTTGCGAACTCAATTACCTGATGGTGATTCGATTGTGGATTATCATTGGAGCCTTCTTGGGCAGGTGGTGGGGGCGGCGGCGGGCTCGTTCGTGGACGCAGAGGGGAGCCTCCGCCGTTCGCCGCCACATTTGCCGGCGCCAGTGGGATCGAGGGGCCGACATACGCTCCTGAAATGCGATAGATTCAGTGGAAAGGTTCTAAAAACGAGCGGAAGGGAAAAGAAAGCACGAGCTACCCGCGTCACGTGACCGAGCGCGATATCTGTCATGGTTGAACGGTTCACGGTTCGCTCGAGAACGATCGACGAATGTGTTTCTTGCTGTGCACAGTTTCTAACGAGGGAACCGCTTGTCAATTAAAAACAGCGTCGAAAATTAGAAGCATTTTAAAACGTTCGAAAGGTATGTATTTATTATTTTGGGAATATCGAAATTATTTTACTATTTTCCGTTCCTTGCAATCGATGTGAAAAATTGTTTATTTCGCATTAAAAATTCCTTCGGTCTAGATATAAATGTTCTTTTCCTCTTTATTTTCGGACGGGGAGAGCACGGGCGTCGCGATTAAAACGCTGTGACCGAAATGGCAACGGGAGACCCCGTTTTTCCTCCGGGCTAACCTCCGCGGGCAGGCGTTCGACCGACTTCTTCGAACGTTGCGCGGCGTTGAATTATCAGCTGTCCGTTAAGTCGCACGAATTCCAATATTACCGCGCAGGATTTATATTCCGCTGGAGGCACGCCGTGATCGAGGGTACACGACGTGCCTTCGATATCGACTCCCGCCACCGATTCACCGTGTGTACGCGTTCGCGTTCGGCGCGCATGCGCGTGTGTATATGTGTCCACGGAATGCTTTTCGTGACTTATTTACTTTTCACGACCGCGACCGTCGCCGATACACACAGCGGAATTTAGAGTATCCCCGGTGGATTCGAGCGCTCTCTGCAGAGGACACGTTACGAGGTTACGCATCTTGATATTGTTTACGAAGGCGTACCAACCTCACGCGCGCGCATCTTCGGAGCGCTTCTCGGCCCGGCGAGGATCATTAACACGCGGTACACGCGCATATTGAAATACGTTGCATAAATCCCCATTTGCATGGCACCATGGCGTACCGTGTTTATATTGACATTGTAATGTAAGATACTGCGTAAAATCGTACGGTAGCACGAACTCTGCCACCCCCCCCCCCGTAGAATACGTCGCTATAGTGTATCGCGTATACTATTGTTGTTATTATTGTTGTTGACACTAAACTCACCGAGCAGCAAAAACCGTCCGACGTGCTCGTTCTTTTGTAAGAATTACAAGACCGAATCTTATCATTTTTATCGTGTCTGCCGGAATTAAGGAATTTATTCAATCATTTCCTACGAAAGTGGCTCTGTAATGCCAAAAATGTTTAAACAAAAAATGCGGAACCGGTGCTTTTTACTGTCGCGGTAGGTTTTAGTGTTGAACAATAAATATTCCGTAATTGGACCAGATAAGCTTTTGCTATCTTCCGCGATATCATTGATTATTATATCGGATAATGTATAATATCGTTTAGAATAAATAAATAAATAATATCGTTTGCGATAAATACGGTAACGTTAGCATTAAAATTATCACGATCAAGCGCGACCGGTTTCTCGTTGTATAATTATACAAATAATATAACGTAAAATAATATACAATATTATGTATAATAATAATATAAGACAGTTCTATTGAGTTGGCGGGAAAGTAATTTCGATTTCGAGACCACAATTACAACGGTCCCGTGACAACCGAAAATACATTCTTGCCAATATGATACAGTAAATTCTCTCTAATTTTCCTTCAGCTTGTAAACAAAAATGGACAATTTGGGAAGAGAGACACGAGGTTCGAATAATCGTACAAATGTACGTTACGAAACAGAATTCGGCAAACGTGCAACGTATACGATAATTACTACGCGGCATTTACAATCGTCTAGTTAATATTTCATGGAAATGTGATCCCCGTCGAGAATACCGCGTCGCGTTCTCTTCCTTCGTCGAATCGATTATACGTTAAGAAAGGTCAACAAACAACCCGGGGAACGCTTGTTTTCTCGAATTCGCGCTAAACTGTTACGTCAATATTTATGAAGAGAAAAAAATGTTTACCCTAGTCCCACGTGTTAGATATCTTCGCGACCCTGGACAATTCATGCGTGGTGCGACGGCAGGAACTTATCTCGTCGAGGCGTCGTTTCGGGCGTTTTAGATTGTCGCGCGCAGGTGTCACCTCGAACCGCCGTATACAGGGTGTCTCGCAATCCGAAAGTGGCGGGTTTCTCAGGTCACCCGAAGCAACTTTTTTTTCTTTTCAAAAATTTTCTCCGAGGCACCGTTAACGAGTTATCAACGAAAAACAGTGACCAATGAGAGGCGAGCTCGGCTGGAGCGAGGCGACCGAGCCAATGAGCGGAACTGGGCTTCGCGCGTTGGTTGGCTGGGTCGCCTCGCGTCAACCGTACTCGATTCTTATTGGTCACCGTTTTTCGTTAATAACTCGTTAACGGTGCCTCGGAGAAAATTTTTGTAAAGGAAGAAGCTGCTTCAAATGATCCGAGGAACCCGCCATTTCCGGATTACGAGACATTTTTGGGACATCCTGTAGAGCGCGGGTTTTCTCTTGTCGCGAGAAGAAGAAACCCGACGAGAGATTTTTTACACGTAAACGGTTCTCTGCTATAATAAATCGCGTTCATTCACTGCGGACGATCAATGGAGTCACTTTCTAATTCCCCAAGAAAGTTAGCGATTTCGAAATAAATAAAAAAAAAAAGTTCTACGAGCTTCTGTAAAACTGGCGCGCGCGCTCGTTCGTTCGTTCGACAGAAATTTCCAAAGGAGAATATCCGTTCTTCCGTCGCGCGTCCCGCCGATATTATCCATTCAGCTTTATCGATCCTACGCAACGGAATTTACTGACAACGTGCTATTTCTTTCCCGGTTATCGTCTCATTACTTCTGCCCCGGCGGTGTTTACACGGCTCCGAACCTCCGTACGGAGAAACGCGTTCCCCCGGCCGCGAGATAAGCACGAATCGATATTAAAAGCCACGATTTCGTCACGTTCCGGCACAGACAGGACCGTGTGACACGCGATATCTCCTATCCGGCTATTCCAGTGCAACGCAGCATCCGCGGCGCACGTACACTGGCATCGCGAAAGCATTCGAACGATGGTCTAACTTGCGACTTCTACGCCGTATATTTATGTAAATATACCGTGAAGGGACAAATTCCTAATATTATTAATATTATTATTTAATTATATATATATAAGAACATCGAATTCGAATTCGCATTTTTGATCGTTCTTTCACATATTACATCAATATTAGCGGGAAAAGGAGTAAAAAATGCTTTATAATTTTACAAATTTCTTCGGACTCGTTAATAAATTATATTCGCACGTGTCTCTCTTATACGTGATCGTTCATCCCAATAAAGTGGGCTCGGTCATGCGAAGTTGCAACAAAGAAAATACATGCTATAAGCAACTCATAAGATGTTTCAGACTTCTTTAAACAAGTTGTTAAACGATAGAGATATAAAACTAGCAATAAAAATTAAAAAAAGAACTTTAATAATATTTCAACTTAGTTTTATAAGGCGTTCAAATACTTGCGCGGCATGAAAACGCGATGTTTTTTATATCTTTTTTAAGTTATGCAGACAACGTTTTATACTGAATCAAATGTTTCTTGTATTTTGATATTTATACATTCTACTTTAATGTATCGTAAAGGATTTCTTCCTTTCAATGTTTATTTATTTAAATTGTATAGCATAGAAGTCAAAGTAATACCAGTGTTCGAATACTTTCGTGAGCCACTGTACCTAACCTCAATCGCCTCGCACAACCAAAACCGACGAGACTCGTCCGAGGTTTGCCGACTAAAACCGATTAACGTCGATGCCGATTCGAATGTTATTTCGAACAGTAAGTAGCTAAAAGTTATTACAAAGAGCGAGTGTAGCTAAAATAGTATCGAAAAATAATTTCTGTTCGAGGAATGTTAAGAATAGTTAGACCTTTACTTCGAGATATATTCGTTCAGCTTCTTTGAATCGATACCATGCCCACGAACGAGTTATCTTAACGTTAAACGTACAGAGGTCTAGAAGCGACCGATATGCGTTGCCTTGTAAGAGTTGCAAGATTGAATTTATATAAATTCTTCACAATTTTTATAAATAGCGTGTATCTGAATAAAGAAATATATATTCAATAATTTCCGATGGAAACAGTTTCGCAATTATGAAATAAAAGATTTTATTGATATGATTGCAGTTCCTCCGATTGTTGAAATAAAAATTATGAACGATAAATATTCAACGATACAGTTGTTTGTCATATTACTACCAGACAACCAGTTGAAATAACTGGTTTCTGATTTTTTTTCTGTTACTATTGTGAAGATAGTTAATATATATATATATAGTTAATATTGTGAAGAAGTTTCTGTGAGAAATTTTTGGACGAACTTCTTTATTACACATTATAATAAAAATCGTACGTGGTTCGAATAAACCAAATATTCTCGATGCTACAAATAGTCGGCGGATTTTATGTATTTATGGCAAAAATGCTTAGATCGAGTATACGCAACTGTAATGACATTGAAAGAATTTAAGGATATTATCACATTATTATCAATTTCTTACAAAACAAGAAATACATTTTTATCTAATTTATGTTCCACAAAAATAATCTCGGGCAATTTTTATTTTTTGCACAAAGATCCGCAGTCCAGTTATAATATAATAATAATAATTATTAGTCGCGATTTGGTAGTTCTAGCGTTAAGATAAAATGATATATTCGTCGATTTAAATTCTGGACCCTCGAATATCATAAATGATATTCGAAATGTTTTTTTTCTCGAAATTTTACCCGGTTCTGTCGGAGAGGGAAAGGGAGAGGGGGAGAGAGAGAGAGAGAGAGAGAGAGAGAGAATACGCGCGTGTCTGTGTGTGCGGTTTGTCATCGAGAAGACTTGTGACCGGTACTTTTCCGTGACGCGGCTCTGATAGAGCCGAGGACCGACCGGCTGCCGCCGCATCTCTCTTGTATCTCTCTCTTGGATCGTGCGAAGAAACGTAGCGACCGGAGGAAGCGAAGGAAAAATGGTGGACGCG